AACATTTTAAGCCGCGAAAACCGCCATTATATGCAAATTTCGAACTTTCTTAAATTTTGGCCGTAACATAAATCGTTGGAACTTTAAACTATTTTTCCATGAATAAGTTCACCCAAAGGTAGGTTTTGGCGCGATAAAAGAAAATCGATTTTTCTTGACTCTCTTCCGATTCTCGACACTCTCAGAAAATCACTCTTAAAGTACCTATGAAGTAAAAAATAATTGCTGCTTATTTGAAAGGCTTTTCAAACTAAAGAAAAATGGAGTTTTCCTTTTTGAAATATCTTTTTTCGTTTTAGAGATATTTACGTTTTTGTAAGGGAATTGATGACGTCATAGGTGGTTCCACTAAAACAGCACAACACTCAATCGAGAATAATTCTAGAAATATTAAAGCAGTGTTCTTTAAACTTGGCTGTTTTAGAGGAACCACCTATGACGTCATCACTTTCCTCATTTGCATAAAACAAAAACGTGAATATCTCTAAAACGAAAAAGATATTCCAAAGAGGAAAACGCCATTCTTCTTTACTTTGAAAAGCCTTTCACATAAGCAGGAATTATTNACCCTCTGTCCCACTTTAAAAGGTTGCAAATGGGTATATTTGATTTTTCACAGAAAGAGACTGGAGCTAAGAGTGTTGCCATGGCAACAACATAGTAGGTGTCATTCTGTTTCTTTTGTGGTGCACATTGCTGCTGCCAAGTTTGAAGAACACTACTTTAATATTTCTAGAGTTATTCTCGATTGAGTGTTGTGCTGTTTTAGAGGAACCACCTATGACGTCATCACTTTCCTCATTTGCATAAAACAAAAACGTGAATATCTCTAAAACGAACAAGATATTCCAAAGAGGAAAACGCCATTCTTCTTTACTTTGAAAAGCCTTTCACATAAGCAGGAATTATTTTTTACTTCATGGGCACTTTAATTACCCTTTTCAGCCGTGCGGTCAGCCTATCAATTGCTTTTTATGTCATGGTCATATCGGTACACTCATAAAACACAACTCATGCAGCCAATTCTTGGAGATACATCCAACTGCATTCAAGAAGCTGTTTCTTGACATTATAAAAGGTCCATAGTCCTGGCCTGTGCAAAATTAATTTCAGGAATAGCTGTCAAACTAAGCCGAGAAGGGTTGCCAAATCACTGATTTATGAACTCTGTGAGAGATCCTCTAGAACAATAAACACGACAACTGACGGTAAGTAGCTTAGGACTATAGAATTTTTAATATTTTGGCCCTGGCATGTTGAATTTATTAGTATAAACATATACGAAAGGCCGTAAAATATTGGCTCTAAATTTTGAAGATAGTACTTGAAACCATGGTCTTTGAAACCANCATAAAACAAAAACGTGAATATCTCTAAAACGGAAAAAGATATTCCAAAAAGGAAAAAGCCATTCTTCTTTGCTTTGAAAAGCCTTTCACATAAGCAGGAATTATTTTTTACTTCATAGGTACTTTAATGGAGTTTTACAAAGTGACCAGATCACCGAATTTATCGACATGATAAAGATATTTTACCTTATCATATACAGCTCGATAAAGTAAGTAAGTAAGGGACTTTATTTTATTTCATTCTATTTTGTTTATTTAAACTTGTGGCTCTCTATAAGCAAAATACAATTCAATCAAAAACCTACACCTAGTAATAAAGATAAAAAAAATTTAAAGTTAATTAATAATTAATAATTAATTCCTGAAAAGCCCCATTGGGGAGGTAACAATAAAGTATGTATGTATGTATGTAATTGCCGATATATCACAAAACAAATCGACTCAGTTGCAAAGGCTTACTTCTAAAAGGAAATTGCCATGGATAAGTATTCTGTTTAGTTCCAATTTATGTTTTACGAAGAAACATAGCTTTTTGTTTTACAGCAAGGAACACATTACAAAAGAATTGTACCGACGAGCTCACTCCGAAAATAAAATCGAAAAGGACGACACTAAATAAAACAATAACCCCGTTACCAAGTAAGCGCACTCTCATTACGCGCGTCATTAAAGTAATAAGAAAAAGGCGAAGTGTATCAAAGTTCAATATAATTATCAAGCTTTATAATCAAATTCGTACGCTGCCTGCATCGTTGGTAGTGCCATATCCAACGCACGAATTCAGCGGCTCCATCAAACCCCTGCTGTCCCTGTGAACGCTCTTGTGCCGGCGCTTGCCGATCACCATGACAGCGATGGCTAATCCGACAAAAGCCGTAACGCCAAATGTAATACCAACCGCAGTTCCAGCGTCCACTTTATCAGGGGTGCCCTGGGAAGACTTTTGCTTGTCTTGCGTGGTGGTCTCGGCCAGATTCATGCCAACTATACCAGGTCCATCTATGTTGGATACAGCTGCGAACTTCGCAACAGAGCTGAGTGACAAAACGGAAAAATATTATGGTTCCATGCGCGTCATCTTTGAATTCTGAAGTGTTGGTTTAATCGTTTAAGGGAGGGGGAAATCGCGAGAATACCCTGAGAATAAAACTCTTTCATAAAACAAGGCGAGAACCCGGACCACATTAGTGGGAGAAACCGCATACCAACTGTACCGACTGACGTCCCTGATCCTTATCTCTTTGACTAGTTTACTCAAGTGTTTGTAGAATTTTTCATCTGCGAGAACCTTGAAAGCAACAACTACGGGAGAGCAGGGGAGGGGGAGGGGGTGTCACGTAGGAACAGCATAGTCGTAATCCTATAATGAGACCAAGAGATGCACACTCAGTTACCTTTTAGTTGCTAAAGTCCACTGAAGAGAGCCGG